TATATATCCTATTTAAAAAAAACGATAATGCTGGGAATTACAGACCGGTTTCCATCTTTTGTCGCTATGATTATAGAACGTATTATGTATGATCAAATGATAAGCACTTAAATGATAAGTCCTTCCTTTATAATTTGCAATCTGGATTTAGGCCCTTCATTTCCTACCGAAACATGTTTGATACGTAAGTGATAATGGCAATTTAACTGGTATGGTACACATTGATCTTCAAAAAGCCTTCGATACCGTTGATCATGCAATATTGCTTTATAAATTAAAATCTATAGGCATTAATGAACATTCTGCAACATGGATGCAGTCCACCTAAGAGGCAGGTTGCAGTCAGTTGACATAAAATGGTCCCAATCATCTATGTTGGAAACCAGATGTGGAGTGCCCGGTCAGGGTTCCATTCTCGGCCCACTCCTATTCTTAATTTATGTCAACGAAAAAAAATAAATTCTTTATTTATTCATAAAAACCTCCAGTAAGGAGAAACATAGACAATCGAAACAATAAAATTACATTAAAAAACAAATCAAAAACGGCATACCAAACAGACATAACACTCAAAAGGAGTTTTTTCAACAAAAACAAGAGCGTTTCATTCTTAAAATTGTGTAAACAAATACTAGGCCTATAATTATGCTGATGATGTAGCACTTACAGCATCTAACAAAGATGTTCGGATGTTCGGTCGAATCTAAATTATGTAATGAACTCCAGTCACTAAATCAATGGCTAATTGATAATAAGTCAATCAATCATGTAAACGACATACGTGTAAAAAACAATCCAATATTAAGGACATTACCTATAATGATATGTCTATTGAAGCTAAATCATCCGTTAAATACCCGGGTCTTGATCTTGAACAACAGTTATCTGGCAGAGACACTGGGACGAAAGTCATATATGGAAAGTGCACCGTTATATAGAAATAGAAAATGTGTCACTCCATAATATGCACTTAAACTCCTTGGTTCTTCTCAGACTCAATGCGCGCCATTATGAATACGGATGTTGCATTTGGTATTCTGGTCTTGATAATACAACCACAATTAAACTTCAGACATTCCAAAACAAAATTAGGCCTATTAGATGTATCTTAGGTCTCGGACCTCGTGCACATGTTGGTTATAATGAATTCTGTAACTTAAATTGGTTGCCAATTCATCTCAGAGTTATCTTTTAGGTTATACAAACCCAAGGGGATTTTCCTATACAATCGAGGGATTTACATACGGATTTTGTTTATTTTGCACCAACCCTCCAGTTTCAGGCACGTAATCACCCAAGTGCGTTGCAGCATCCGGAGGTAATACACGAATTTATATCGAAAGGTTTGAGTATCGGTAGAGTAGCAGGTCCCTTTAACCATCCCCCATTTACTAAGTTTCCAAGAACGGAAACCGAGAAATTTCGGATAATCCAAGATCTTTCGTATCCACTGGGGGCGTCTGTTACTTCGAGTATCCCAGATTATGCTTCTCGTGTAACTTACGACACAATCGATAATGGCATTAGTCTTAAAAAAACGGGGCGGGTTCCTTAATGGCAAAAACCGATATAGAGGATGCCTTCAGAATTATTCCACTTTATCCTGGTGATTACCATTGTTAGGTTTTTCATGGGAGGGAAAGCATTTCTTTGATCGTTGTTTATCGATGGGTGGAAGGTCGTTCTTATAACATCGTCGAGTCTTTCAGCACAGCTTTAGTCTGGATAATGAAGGAAAAGTTTCAGATAGCCGATATTTCCCATATTTTAGATGATTTCTTAATAATTTCTTAGCGCTTAATCGTTTTCTATTTCTTTATGGTAAGATCGGGGTTCCAATCAAGGAGGCTAAAACTTTTACACCTACTACAGTCATTACAATATACGGGATAGAAGTCGATTCCGTATCAATGGAATGTCGTTTACCAAGGGCAAAGATTGAGAAAACAGTGTTGAAAATCAATGAATTTTTGACCAGGAAAAAAGTAACGTTGCGTGAAATGCAATCCATGGTTGGTCTCATCAACTACGTATGTAGCGTAGTCCTGCCCGGACGGGCTTTCCTGCGCCGATTGATAAATGTGTTACCATTGGCAAGGCATCTGTCTCATTTTATTCGTTTAAATCTCGAGGTTAAAGATGATCATCTTCTGTGGTTGTTTGGAAACTTTTAACGGTAAGGTCATGATTCTTAAAGAGACCTGGTATCATTCTTACAGATTTGGCAGGATCGATAGGATGCTGCAGTATTTGGTAGTAGATGTTTTTTTTTTTTATCGCATGGCCGTCTAACTTCGATACTTTATCTATCGCCGTCACTGTTGGAATTATTCCCTATTGTTATTGCAATTGAAGTATGGGGCGCTGCGCTTGCTAATTGCCGAATTGTGTTTCACTGTGATAATGAAGCAGTAGTTGCAGTGATCAATAAGAAATCTGGTAAAGACAAACTTCTTTTACGGCTTATACGGCGTTTAGTACTTGTGTGCCTTCGTTTCAATATCCAATTCAAAGCGCACCATATCCCGGGGGCTGACAAAATTTTATCCGACCTTCAGTCTCGGGAAAAAATTACAAAAGCGTTAGAGCTCTTTCCTTCTGTCAAATAAAACTCCTATCCAAATTCCTGCACAATTCATTTTAAATACTAAAGGATTAACTATTAAATAGTTAATCCTTTAGTATGCAAGCCATTGATACTCAATCAATCAACCGGAAATCAATCAGTTATTGTTGAACGACCGCCCTTGAACTTCAAAAAACCGCAAGTTTTAAAATTTGAAATTAACATCGTTCGACTATGGAGATGTTATTGTTGAAAACATATCAGTGTTGATGTGAGAGCTTTAAAATATATAAGTCGGTGGTGACGTCATCACTTCCATTTGCACTGAATTTTCCTTCCTTTTCATGAGCTTACTATTTTGATAGACATTCGTCAAAGAAATAAAGCATTTGAGAGAATACAGTTCTGTAATAAAATTTTGGTCAGTGCAAACAGGTAAAATCCTGTGATGATTTCATATAGGCTTACCACAGTCTGTGGGCTTACGAATCGATCTAGCCCTGGGTCAGGCTAGGCTAGGCCTCCCTATATCTAAATTCGTTCCTGGTGTAAATTCAATAAAAGGCTACAGGATATCACGATCACTGACTCGGTTCAAACTTTATTCCCATCCACCGTTTACAATGAAGCCATTATATAGCTGACAGCGTGATCACTGCTTGGGTATTTACCCAAGATCTTGGGTATTTTGACTTGGTCTTTTGGGTTCTTGGGTATTCCGTTCAAATCCTTGGGTATTTTATTTTTACTAAGAAAATTAAATATTTTTGTCATAGAGGAAGAATTAAGAAGTAACAAAGTATATTTCAGTCCATTCAAGTAAGCAAAACTAAACGAAGTGCACATAACATTGTTAATTGACTGTTAATTGATTTAAACATGGGTTCAGAATTGTTTATTTGTGATTTGTGTTGCCATTGATCTTACCTAATTAATGCATTACATATAATAATAAAACTTGATCACTGATCTACTGATAACACTGGCCGACTGAGGGCGTATTTTTCTATCTGTATTATCACCTCATGAGTATTAATTTTAATAATTAACTCAAACAATTACAATAAAAAATTGGTTTATAAATTGAACTAAAAGGGAAACTATACATGCGAAAAACGCGTATTTTTCAAATTTTAATGCATTTTCAGGAAGCTTGGGTAATTTTGAGCAATTTTGCTGAATCTTGGGTAATTTCGACCCAGACATTGGGTATATCAAAAATTGTGAGTGGTCACACTGATAGCTGAGCTCTCATCAGCTTCAAATCACTAACACAGCATAGTAAATTTGAACACCAATAAACAACACCCCAGCTACCTCTAACAACAGAATAGCATAAAATATATTAAAATAAGTATCATTAAATCATCAAATACTAGGAAAGAATTAAAATAATAATCTCAATCATTACAGTATATGCATGTACAACACAGCCAAAACTACAATGCTAATACATCAAAACAATACCGCAATTACAATCTAAGGGACCATCTCAATCACACACTAGTAGTATTATCTAGTGCATTTAACTAATTATAAACGTTGTCTTGAGGCGTATAACATGTTCAAAACTTTTATATCAATCCGCGTCTCCAACAAGCGTAGCCATAGTTACCCACACTTTGCCATATAGGTATTACTGTATAATCCTCTCTGATCTTATAATAACGATTGTTGCAAACTTTGTAAATGTGGGATCAGTGGGGTAACGAAGGGGCCGAAGCTCGTTTTGTGATGTATTTTAATGTCTTTTGTGGTACAGATTAGTTCTTTAACCCTTTGAGGTCGCAGGAAGCGCGCTCCGTATACAATACGCTTAATATGTCTACAGTATCTATAAACATTATTAAATCATGCAATTCAAGCTATACATAAGTGTAAACTTCAACACTGTTTTTGTACGAACAACCATTACAACGGTATTAATATGGAACGCCTAAATCGCAATCGACTTTGTCAATTTAGCCATCTTACACTTGCATCTTTGAAACAGATAGGCTTATGCCTATT